CCGGGCTGGGGATTCAAACCCGCCACCTTAGGTGTACATGGCTGGCGCCTTAGCCGGTTGAGCTATGGGCGCCGAGCCAAGAATCTCATTCTTAAGAAAAAAAAAGAAACTGAGGCTCAGAAGATTAAGCAACTTGCCCAAGATCACAAAGGTGTTAATGGGTAGAGATTGGATGAACCCAGATTTTCTCACTTGAACCATCCTGCTCATCTCTCCCTATCCCAACCCCCGTTAGCACTCATAGTATAAAAACTTAAACTCCTTAATAACTGCATACAAATATATTTTTCTAGGTTGCTATATAATCTACACAACCTGCCATTTTTAATAGTACCAAAGGAATGTACCATGAATTATTGATATTGTTAATTTTTCTTTATTATAAATAACATGGTAGGCTCAACATTAGTATCTCAGTGGTCAGGGTACTGGCCACATACACTGAGGCAGGCAGGTCCAAACCTGGCCCAGGACTGCTAAACAACAATAGGGACTGCAACAAGAAGTAACTGGGCATTGTGGTGGGCGCCTGTAGTCCCAGCTACTTGGGGGGCTGAGGCATGAGAATCGCTTGAGCCCAAGAGTTTGAGGTTGCTGTGAGCTGTGATGCCATAGAACTCTAAAGAGGGCAACATAGTGAGACTCTGTCTCAAAACATACATACATACATACATACATAAAATGGTAGTGAACTTTTGCTAATGGATGTCAACTCATTATTTTAACTTTTTTGATTACAAGTGTCTGAATAATGATCCGTATCTTTGTTTATCACCTCTATGTTCTATGTTATGAATTGTCTTTATTACATGAAGTCTCACTCTCCCACCCTGGGTATAATGCTATGGCATCATCATAGCTCAAAGCAACCTCAAGCTCCTGGGTTCAAGCGATTCTCTTGCCTCAGCCTCCAGAGTAGATGGGACTACAGGCATCTACCATAACACCCAATTGTTTTTAGAGCTGGGGTCTCCCTCTTGCTCAGGCTGGTCTCAAACTCCTGAGCTCAAGCAATCTACCTCCCTCGCCTCCCAGAGTGATGGGATTACAGGCGTGAGCCACCACACCCAGCCCTATTTTTCTACTTTGTTAGTAGAGATGGGGGGTCTTGCTTTTATTCAGGGAGGTCTCAGAACTCCTGAGCTCAAGCAATCCACCCACCTCAGCCTCTCAGAGTGCTAGCATCATAGGTGTGAGCCACTGCACCCCGCTAATCTTCAATTATTTCTTAACAATTTATATGAACTCTTTGAATGATGAAGACTTAACCCTATATCAAAATCACTGCAAACCAACTTTCCAGGTTCGTATTTGTTTTTCTAACATAAAAACA